CAACATCACATTTCATCTAAGGAAGTTCAGCAAAGACAGAGTAGGTTGTAATAAATTAAAATACTTGCCTCGGATGCTAAAAGTGATAAGTGTAACATTTGCTCTAGCTACCAGAAGTGATAGGCAATAATTTAGTGGGAGAAACAAGAGATAAAGGAAATCATTAGTAATGCACAACAGAATTTCTGAGGTTAAAAAAAAAACCCCATAATTTACCAATTAAGCAATTCCAAAGATAAATAAAACAGATGTTGACTGTTAAGACCCAAATTTGTAATTTGGAAGAGCAAGTCCAAAATATATTTTGATGACCAGATGAAAAGATAATACACCAGCACACTGGTGAATATTCCTGAAAATCTAATTTACAGTAGACATTTAGGAAGTGGAGAAACAAAACTTTAAAAACTGATAAGTTTATTAGATATTGGTAAACTGGAGACTAGAAGAATGTACTGGTCCCCAGACCATTTTGGTGAAAAAAAGACTTACATGTAATATCATTTACCCAAGTGGAATGAAACCATGTCACTTAGAGGAAAATCAACTAGATATTGTCATGTTAAATGATTTCTCTTATATTAGAAAACTAAAAAAAAATAAATTAATAAATAAAAATTTTAAAACAAAAGAGAAAGGAAGCCAGGAGGTAGATTCCTGGAGATGGGGAAGAGGAAAAGCAGGATGGGGACAGGGGAGCAGAGGTTATAGTACTAAAATCAAAATATGTTAAATGCATGTACCAATACCCTAAACAAACCTGTCATCGTTAATATTAATATGTAGTAATAAAAATTTAACATAGAAACAGAAAGTCATAAAGTCTTCAGGCTATAAAGAATAAATCATTTTATAAAGAAAAAAATCAAATTGGTACTGGATTTCTCAAATGTAATAATAGAAATTGGGGGAATGAAGTTGGTGGTCTGCTGAGACAAAAAAAATGCAAGTGACATCTTGTAGTCAGCCAAAATATTCCATTTCACAGGTAAAGAAAGAAATTTGAGGGTGTGCCAGAGATCAGATGCTGTTTTATTAACGATCCCACCTGAGGGCTTTTTCTCAAGGAAACACTCTACCAAAAACACAAACATAACTGGGTAGATATTAAGACAGGGCAAGAAGACAAGAAGAAACAGGACTGAGTAACAATATGTAAAGTACTGATATATCTGTGCCTAATTAACAACCCACATAAATGAGAGCAGACTGTTAGAAAGTCTGTAACGTCAGTGGAAATATAGATTCTATACATAAAGGAACATACTGTATGGGAAGTTTAACTATATGAGAACAAAAGTAATAAATTATCACAGAAAAACAGAACTAGAGTGAAATGTGGTAACTGACATCATTTCTAAAATTTGAATATGAGACTAGGGAGAAAAGGAAAGAAAAGTCTATTAAAAAATAATCAATGAGTGTATGGAGTGATATAAAGGACAGGAGCCCCCACAGGGCCCTAGGGTACCCCACTGAGAACCTAAGCTGTCCCTCCTGTGGCGGACTGAACACTGATGGTCAATTTGTAATAGCAGCTGACCTGAATCAGCATGGTGCTGAGCGTGGATGGCCCACCTGAGGACTGTGGCCAAGATAAAAAGGAGAACTGGGGAGGAAGAGTTTAGTGTTGCTTTTGTTTGGTGCTATAGGTTCTCTGGTTGCTTTTGGTTCCCTGCAGGATCTTGTCCAGCTTCTTTCCTGATGTGACCTTGGCTGTTATCATCAGAGGAGCTCAGGACACTGCAGTCACTAAGAATGGCTGTGGTTCACATTAGAGGAGCTCTGGTCCTTATGTTGAGCATCATGTCTTGGCTCTGGAGGGAAGATGTGTGCTGTTTGATCTGGAGAAGCTTGTTATGCTGGTTTCCTCATATGAACTCATTGTCAGAGGAGCTAGGAGGAGCTAGGGACCTTGTTGTCACTAAGAGTACCTTTGGTACCTTTCAGGGAAGCTCTGGTTCTTATTTCAAGTGTTGTTTCCTGGTTTCAATGAAGAGCCCTCAGCCTGCTGGTACAGATCTTTAGTCCCATGGCATAGGTTTTCTACTTTCCACTTCTTACTTTGGGGCCCTCCCAGCACAGGTCCATGAAACAGACTTTGATGAGTCATTGTCGTGGGCTCTAGGTCTCCAGTTGGACTCATGGGAAGCGCTGTCATGGGCTGGATGAACTCATGCAGGATATTGCAATGGCATCCAAGCTCTTAGCTAGATTCTCTAGGTCTTAAGTGTGTGGACAGATTTCCTACACTATCATTGTATTTGACTTCTTGGGTGACCATCCCATCATAAATAATACTAAATATTATGTGTCTTGAATACAGTTGTTTCCTTTGCAATCCCTGACCACAGGGATTGTCTGCATGGATGACCAAGTGTGCAGTTTACGTTCCTTGATCAAATGAACTTGCAGGCTTTGAACAGACTGAACAGCATGAAATTTCCACTGATTGTTAAATGTAATGCTTTCACCATGCCCACAGCCCAAAGTCATTTTCCAAGCATAGCACAGTTCTCCCTTTGCTGCACAACGCGCTATGCTAGAGACAGGAGTCTTCCTAGTAACTGTGTGCAGGCCAGCAGTTGCTCACATTGGACTCAGAACTCACAACCAAATAGATTTCTGTATTTCATCTGCAACTAGTGAAGCTTGTTTGTGTTTTCTGTGTGTGAATTTCCCACATTTAAGCTGCACAGATTTCCAGAAGAGGACAAAGCAATAAACAGTCCCTCCTCGGAGAATTGAAACAATTGTTCTAAGTCTTCTAGGCTAATCAAGCAGTCACTCCTTGTCACAACACAATATTTTTTATAGGAATGACAATTCTGTAGTATTGTTAGATTCTCTGCAATGGCAGTTATAAAACAAAAAATGAAATCTTCCATTTTATTTACCTTATGAGATGAACTTTAGGACTGTTTTAATAAGCTGCTGGCTTTAGAGTGATTTACAATAATTCATAATATCTACATATTGAAACTAGCCAAAACTTCTAACAAGAATGGACTAAATAATAGTAGCATCTTTCAACTTTGCTAGAATTGCAAATCCCTTTATGTAGTTTGGATGATATTTTTAGCAATTTTTAAATGGCACGTAAGGCAGAACTGATTTTAAATAAAAGATTTGGAAATTTTTTGAACAATATATTAAGAATTAAATTATAAATTTTCTTTAAAGTATAATAGATGTAAATGGGTCTTGGAAATTATTAGTTATTGAGAAGTAGTTCAAAGATAGTAAGAATCATATATATTTGTCTTGTTCTCCAGGCCCTGTGACACAGAACTCCCACAATCCTTGTCATTTCTTGAATGCTAAGGATGCTGGGAGAATCTTTTGTTCTACTGTTTGGTCTCTGTCTCAGATCCTGACACAGAGTTCCTAAATCCTTTTGCATTTGGGGCAATAGGTTCATCCATTGTTCTACTAAGGTGACACCTGGTGGGCTCCTGGATTGCCATGGGTCGCCAGAAAGTCCAAACCATCCTGAGAGACTTGGACCCTCAGCCCCATCCCTCATTCTTTGGATGTGAAATATAGCAGGAAAGTGAGGTGGGGATCTATCATCCCTATGTGACAAAGTTTCCATAGAAAATTTCTGAACCATGGGGTTGGTAAGAGCTTCCATGTCATGGAATATATTTATGTGCTAAGAGAGTGGCACAACCCAGCTTCACAGGGATGAGCTCCTGTACTTGGGACGCTTCCCTCAATTCCCCCATATCTTGCTCTACACATCTCTTCCATCTGGCTATTCACTTGCATTTTTAGTAATATCTTTTATAATAAGTGCATACATGCAAGTAAAGTATGTCACTGAGTTCTGTGACCCAGCCAGCAAATTAACCAAACCTAAGGAAGAGGTCATGGGAATCCCAATTTGTACCCAATAGACCAGAAGTTTAGGGAGCAATCTACCACTTGGAACTGGCATTTGAGGTAGAGTCAGATCCGTGAGACTGAACTCTTAAGATGACAACATGTCTAGGCAGAGGTCAGAATTGCATTGAATTAGAGGGTGCCCAGCTGGTGCCCCTGGAGAACTGCTTGACTTTTGGTGGGAAGAACCCTCATACATTATGTTGACTAATGGTGAAGTGTTCCATGTTACACTGAGAATAGGGGGGTAGGAAAATAAAAGGCATGTTGGTTTACCTATTGTATGGTAATCAGTTAAAAACTCTTTAAAAGCAATGCCCAAATACCTGAAGCATTTTATCTGAACTGCTTGATTACAGTTCTTAGACAATCCTCATCCATAATACATCATCTACAATTGCGGTTTTAGTTCTCTTAAATTAGAGGTGAGATTTGGACATCTATAAAATGATGTGAGTGCAGCAATCTTTAAGGTTTTTTTGTTTTTTGTTTTTTTCAAACTCATCTATTTTTTTCCCTCTGGGGGAAGAAGAGCTATTCAAAATTAAATATAAGAATCTCTGCAAATAATACTAACAGGTCTTTGGAGAAACATTTTAAGTAACTCTTGGTAAATATTCAACTAGACCCTTAGAGACAGGGATCTTTGGGCCTGGGGAAAGTTGCCTTCTAATCAGGAACTGCAGTTTATTATGGGCATCACTCAGTATGTTTGCAGACTGAATGTAAAGCAGAGAGCAAACTCCAGTGTGTGGCCAAATTTCCCAGAGGACTTGATAAAATCCAAATCGCTGTACCCCATTATCTGATGTGGAAGACTTGGGCTGGAGCCTTCAGAATCTGCATTTATAACAAGTGCTCAGGTGATTCTGAGAGTGCTGGTGGGGACAACACTGGGAAACAATGGCATAGACCAATCTGGCAAGTAGGCAATGGAAATCAATTAGTGATAACATTCTTATTCTTGCTCTCAATTAACAAGTAAACACTGCTTTTTTAAAAATCAAATGGGACAAAACACAGATTGCTGTCATATACATTTTCCCATGCCATACAGTCAACCCTCTGTATTCATGGGTTCTGCATTTAACCAAGCTTCTCAGGATGGTTTGGTCTTTCTGGTGACCACTATGATTTGAGCATATTTGGGAAAAAAAAGATTGCATCTGGACAGAAGATTATATATAGACTTTGTTTGGGGGATTTTTTTTTTTGGTCATTGTTCCTTGCAGGATACAATATGACAGCTGTCTACTTTCCCATTATGTTAGGTATTCAAAGCAATCTAGAAGTGACTTAAAATCTCTGGGAGGATGCTTCAGCTGTGTGTAAAAATACCTCATCACTGTATGTAAATAGCTTGAGCCTCCTTGGATTTTGGTATTTGCAGGACATCCAAGAACCAATCCTTCCTGTATATCAAGGGGTGATTATATCATGTTTGGTTTAGGAATGGAATTGTGTTAACACAGAAAGAAAGAAAATTTATGCATTGTTTACTAGAGATTACTAGCAATTGAATTACTGCTTTTAAATCAATGTTCGGAATGATTGTAATTTGTGCTTAAAATAGCAAACCACTTGATTTTTTTTCTGAGTATATTTTTATTTCCGAATGATGAGAAAAATTTCAGAGCCTTAATTATGAACCTTTCTCTGCCAATAACACTTGCCAAAAGTTGGCTAATCTTTATTCCTGATCAATGAAATGTAAACTCAGGGCTGGGGTTTAGCGCAGTGGCTTAAGGGCCCACTTGGCGAGTGTGAGGTTGTGAGTGAGTTAGATCCTCAGTTCCAAATAGAAAAGAAAAGAAAAAAGAAAAGTGAACTCAGACATAAGGATAATAGATGTGACATTTTGGGGGGAATAACAGTACCAGAGATTGCACCCAGTGCCCCAAGTATGCCAAGCAAATACTCTACCACCAAGCTACATCCTAGTCCTTATTTTGTTTTGTTTTGAAAAAGGGTCTCACTAAATTGGTCAGATTTTTAAATTTGAAATCTTTCTGTCCTATCGTTTTATCTTCTGAGGAGCTGGAGTTACAGGCACATACCACTATCCCCACATTTTCCATTCTTTATCCTGTGTGTTTTTGAAGCATACTTGAGAACTCAGTGCACTGAATAAAAATCATCATGAGATGAATTCAACTTTCTGAATAGAGTATTATCTGTAGTGTATTCACAAAATTGGCTGCATTTTTTTTCCAGGCTGGGAACTGAACCCAAGGTCTTCACCCTGCACTGTATCTATAGTCTGTTTTTATTTTTTATTTTGAGACAAGAGCTTAGTAAATTGCTTGAACTTGGAATCTTCCTGCCTCAGCCTCCCAGAGTGGTAAGAAAGCACTTACAGAGTTTCACAGAGAGCAATAACAGAGTAAAAAGGCAGGGTAGATGCCAGGCAAAGCAAGACAACTTTTATTCTCCCAGGTGCTTAGACTGCTCTGCTTTGCAGAGAGAACATTCACTGTATTTTATTTATCACTAGGTTCAAAACTGAAAACATGGGGCTGTCTTTAACTATGGACACCCCTGGAAATACAACAGGGGAATGGATGATGTTGTGATATTGTTGTATCAGTGAGGTGGCTTATTAAGACTGACACTATAGATTTAACGACATGGATATTGTTGAGCAAAAAATGCCAAACACAAAGCAATTCAAGTAAGATGAGACCATTTTTAAGGAAAAAGTAGAAGTATATTCAACATAATTTCACCAGTAGTTATCTTACAGGAAGTGAAAGTACCAGATTTCTGATGTTTTTTGCTTCTTATGTTTTTCAGTATTTTCTGTTATTACTCATAAGATTAAAAAACCAAAGAGTGGCTATTAGTTTTAGTAAGTGACACAGAGAGAATATAGCTGTCATCTCCCATAGTTTATTTTAAAATATGTTCTCTATTTGCCTGTCTAGGACACAGTGTCATTCTCCCTGCAAGAACGTGTTGAGTATACACAAAAGTGATCTATATGCTGACACAATTTAGCATTATGCATCTGTAGGATGCCGTATTTACTGTATGATCATTCCTCAAATACTAATGATGGTAATGAAATAACAGACACAGAAACAGGCACCATTGTGACTCACTGGTGGTCACTATAGCAACATTCCTATTTTTGTCACAGTGATTATAAAATTAGTTTTAACCAAGCTGAATGTTTTATATATTATTTTAAATATATGTGAAATATGTAAAATATGAATCCTAAATATTACTTTAAATATATTACCTTAAATATGAGTTGGCCATAAATTTCCTCCTTCCAACTAAAATCAGAGGATGACTAATATCAAATTACACTCTATTAAGTATCACAAAGGCATCTTTCAAAGGGAGAAATTGCCACCAATTAATTGCCACCAATTAAGAGGATGTCAGAGACATTTACTTAATCTTATGTTGCTTGGTTCATAACTTCCTGAGGGTTGAGATTGTAGGTGAAATATTCTGGTGGCTGTCCAAAACTCTGTTTTAAGAATGAGAAAAGCAAATATTTACTTCAATAGATAAAATGAACCTGACCTCATAGACTATGTCTTAGAAAGCTCAATTTTCCTTTTTATTTTTCAATTTAAATCATCCTTTAAAAACAGTGAAAGAAAAAATAAACAGGAAGGAAGGAAGAAAAGAAGAAGGAAAAAATGAAGGAAGGAAAGAAGGGAAGAAGAAAAAAGATCTTAGGAAAAAATCTATGTTTAAGGTTTTAAAAAAGAAGCCTGGTAGGAATGCGGTTGTTTGCGCTTTGCAGGCAGAGTGCTTGTCAGGCATGAACTTCTTGGGCAGTGGCAGTGGCCCTGTGACTGCGGGAAGTCGCTTACAGTCTGAGTCTCTGCTTCCTCATCCTTAAACCCTGAGCTGGCTTTTGTGAGTGATGCTCTCAGAGCTGTGATACAGGTGTTCTGTGTGCTAATAATCTCTCATCCCATCCTGCCAATGGGGAAGGTATCACTAGAAAGATACAAAGATGATCATTTTTGATATGTTACTTTTTGCATATTTAACTCTGGGTATGTAGAGGGGTTTTCAAAGTGGAGCATCAATGGCAACATTCACCTTTACACACTTCAATCAACCTTTTACACTGCAGGGGGGTTGGCTCCAAGGATTCCATGGGGCTGAGCTCTGAGGATGTTCAAGTCCTTTATGTAAAATAGTGTAGAATTTGCATACAATCTGTACATGTTCTCCCATACCCTTTAAACCATCCTAGATTACTTATAAGACCTATTTAACTCATTACTATAATACTCTATGGCAAATAATAACAAGAAAAAGTCTTTACATGTTTGGTACAGTTACCATTTTTTAAACATTTGAATCAAATTAGTAGAATCCTTGAAGACTCATAGGTACAGAGAATATATATTTTAACTCAGTCCTCCATGAAAATGTAAGAGAAAGTATTCCAATATTTATGAAATTAATATTTAGTTTACAAATACTGTGCATTTATATTAAATATCATTTGCAGTAATTAAGATATTATTATTCACAGATATATGAATGATACTCAAATCTTCTAAGTTCTTTTGTATAATGGTTTTAGCTTCTCTTATAGTTCATAAGATTGGCACCTGGCACTGTGGGAACAGCTTCTTAGAAATATTCCAGGAATGATGGAAGATGCCATATTGTTCACATGGGATTTTGTTTAGCTACTGTCCTATATATCTTGTGGTGTATTCTAGTTTACACAAGTACTTTCAGATGTATGATTTTATTTGCTGCAACTCTGTGATGGCGACTACCCCAAGTTAGCATGGAAGAAGACAGACACAGAGAGCCTTTCTGAGGTCACATTCTGAGACGTAGACTCTGCCTCAAACGTTTTACTTCTGCAAAGACTGTCTCCCCCATTCCCTTCACACCTATTGGCCCAGAAGTCCAAAGTTCTAGAGGAAACAGAGGAATGCAAGATGCCATTTTCCTGAATCCCAGAAGGATGATGCAAACAAGACCTGTGAGTGGTACTTCAAGATTGACCCAGCTTCTGGATCCCAGGGAAGAAAAGCCTCCTGGTTCTGGAGGTTGTATACACATACCGATGAATCACTAAAGCAGTTCTCCGAGGTACTAAAGCAGCTCTCCAACTACAACCATAATAGGTGCACCCTTTTGCCACATAGGAACTGAAAATATCTAGGAGTGAAGATGACAATGTATCAGGCACTTCCCACACAGGGTGATGAGTACAAAGGTGAATAATCCGGGGTGACAGAGGAGACTAGGAGAGGCCTGGACTGGGCAGCTGGAGGAAGTGATGTCTGAGCAGAGGCATTAAAAAATGAGAAGCCATAGGTTAAATAGCGAAAAGGCCAAAGAGGAAAGAAGGAAGGGCATGTGCAAAGACCAGAGATTACAGAGTGTGCTGAGTTTGAGGAACTAGAAGGCAGCCATGTTGGGTGAATTGTAAAATCTGAGATCTTTATCTTCAAGAAGGAGCCTGGATTCTATCTTGATAATAAGGATGGTCAATAAGGGGCCTTATACACATCACAATCATACAGAATTGAGAGAATTGTTGTAATTTAATTGTATGTTGATGGATGAGGTGATCTAAACTAGATAGCAACAGGCGACAAGTACAAAAAAAGGATGCAAGAGAACCTCGGATCGTAGACTCTTAAGACCCAGTCATTGACTGAATGTGTGTGGTACAGGGTGGGGGAAAGTAAGGTAGAATTTCTATAATGAGAGCAACAAACTGCTCAGGTCAGATCACTGATGCAGAAAGAAGACCTGGCATCAGGGTGCGCCCTCGGCCCCTCACACGCTCTGCTTCCAGTTCATTTTCAATACAAAGCAAGCTCCATACTTTATAATTCTGAGAACTGGATATTGCTTACTTAAGTTTAGGGATGAAACTGTGGTTTTGATCAACTCTAAGACATTGCTTTATTCCTTGATAGCAAACAAAGCTAAATATATAGCACAAGAATCAACAGTGCAAATCCATGCAGTGTGTCATGAATGACCATTAGTGGACAGAGATAAGGGTGAGGAAGGACAAAGAGGAATTCACTTGGCACAAACATTTTCATGTAAGCTGGAAGCGACTTGTCAATTAGACGTGTGTAGGAATGTCTGAAGCCACTCGGAGGGAGAATACCCACCTTATAATATGTAAGCTGGTCAAATGCATCCTTCTTTTCTTTCTTGTTTCTGTGATTGCTTTATTCACTTAATTAGTATTCAGCCTATGCTGTTCATTTTATCATTCCTAACCCACACCAGAAATCCCAATGGGTGAGGTCACACTGGCAAAGAACATGAGATCCACTATGGTGTGACAGTTGGGAAGAACGAATGTCTTTTTATGAAATTCACAGAAATTGGCTTATTAGAATATGTCATCTTCTTGATTGTAGAACATGTCTGACTCCACAGCCTCAAAACTTTCGTAATGGTAGCTTCTGTCAGTCAGGGTCGCCTCACTTCTGCTCTTCTTCCTCTTCAGGGGCTCGGCTGCCTGCAGGTCGGACAGTGCGGACACGGCAGGTCTCACGGTCTGAGGTCCTTCGGCAAGTGGGACCTCAGCTGTGCCCTGTTCAGTGGAGTCTGAGTGACTGGTTGGGGGCAAAAATCGTTCACTCCGTAGCCTTTTTCTTATTTCTTCTTCTGTATTCTGAAAAGCAATATTATAGAATGGGGAAAAAAGACCAAGGAACTGTAAGTTCTCATTAGTATTGCTTGTTGTGAGCTTCTTTGACTTTTCGATTTTATTATTCAATCAGGTAACAAACACCTGTCGAGGAGCCCCTATTAAAGAAGACAGACGAGGGCCACCTTCAAGGGGTTCGTAGTCCAGTGCTTGCTGCCCGCTAAGGGCTGGAGCTGTGATGGCTGCTCCTGGGCAGCAAGGCAGGGGCTCCTCCTCTCCTGGGATCTGCTTCACCACACCCTGCTCTGCTCCTACCCCAGTTCCAGCTGAAGTTTTCTTTTTGCATTCAAGAAAATATCATACTTCATGTCAAGAACTGGATTTTTTTCTTTTAAAGGACTGGAGAGCGCCCGCGGGTCTCGAACCACCGGACCAATCGGCCCGGGCGGTTGGGAAGCCGGACTGGGAGGAACCGCTGGGCTAAAGCCAGCCCGATATTATTTCTTTTAGCTCTATGGCTGCAACTAATTTCCAATCAACTTTAAGATATTGCTTTATTCCTTCATGACAAAAAGGTATTTAAAAGATCAAACACTAAGCATACAGCATAATAAACCCACAGAGCATCAACCTGATGAATTTGTCTTACAGCAGAAGAGGAAAGCTCTGACTCGAGCTCACGTACCTCTAGGCGCCCCTCTGCAGCCGGCATCTTGTGTTCTGTGGCCTTCACTGTGAAGTCCTTTGTGTTCTTTCTGATCTTGAGTTTCTTCAGTCTCGCTGGTGGCTTTCTCAGCGGCTCCTCAGATGTGTCCACCTGGAAGAAGACGTCTTTTAAAACAGAGCAACAACTATCTCCACTGGTGGAAGAGAAAGCCAGGAGAAGCAGAGTAAGTGCAGTATAAGGTGTAAATCCTAAAAGTCTAAGCTTTCTAGTAGCAGATTAAAATAACTACAGCAACTAGAAAGCTGGTAACAACAAAATTAATTCCCAAAGACAAAATAAATGAAATAAATTTATCAGGCAACCACATAAAAAGTGTTAAAAACGTCTGATGTTCCAACTCTACATGGCAGAGGACTCATAAGAAGAAAATGAATCTTCAGAATGAATGCAAGATGGAAAAGTGGAGAATGGGTGATAATTTTGTAATTCAAATAACAAAATAGGTTCAAATTTTTACCTTAATTGATTTATAATATTCAGTAACAACATTGATATAATATTTCACAAGCTACAAATGACTTTCAATTACAAAGATTGGTTTTTTTCTACTTTTGATCTTGATGTTGAGAGAGATCATTATCAAGCAATAACTCTTTGCTGGGCTTTGCTATTGACAGTTTACAGATGTTTTCATGACAGTAGAAAAAATGCCATTTCATAGGACTGACTATCCTTTCAACAGTTCACAGATATCACAATGACTTTCTAATTGTAATTTCTATTCACAGAAAGTTAAATTTTATAAAGGCTTTATGAGGAAAGATTTAATTTACATATTTTTAAAAATTAGTTTTTGAAATGTATATTTATTTTGAAAAATAAAATGACACATAAATAATCTCTTAATTCTGTTTAACAACTTGGCTGTCTATTTTACTCCTCAGCTTGAACCTTTTAGTTTGTTGTGTATTTTTCTAGATAATCTCTCCATATATTTGAACAACTGTAATGTTAAATATAAGCTAGAAGGGATAATATGACATGGTTCTGCATTTTACTTCCTTTATTTTATTTAATATTGGCTTCCTTCTTGTTGGCATATATAAATTTATTATGACTAGGGAAACATTTTAATAAACACAAGTCTGTATTACAAAATGAACTGACTTCTGTTCTAGATAATTCCTCTGACAATATCTTTTTTATAGATAAAGGAACTATTAATATTCATTTTAATTTCCAAAATACTCTTTCTTCAGTCTATAAGGTCGATACTGGGAAAATAAATCAAACAGAAAAAGAAAGACAGTTTATGACAGAACAGGAAAAATTACTGGGACTCAGACAAAGCAGGGTTTGAATCCTTACATGGTTAGGAAGTGTGCAAATACCCATGAGTTGATAAATTCTGTAAGCCTTGGCTACCTTTTTAAAAACAGACTTAATAATACCTATATGTTTTTTTTTTTTAAGGGAGGAGGAAGTGTCTAATACTCAGTTATGGTAACTACATTTTTGTGGATGAAATCAGTGGCTTTTTCAATGCCAGCCTACAAAATCATAACCAGGATGCAGAACTATGGCGATGTTAGGGAAAGTGACCCGGAAAGGCACCTGGAAGGGAACCGGAACCGGAAGTGGTCGCTGGTATTCCAGCAGGCTCTGTGGCTAACAGATACCTCTTCTTTTTAGGATTCAGTTTTCTTGCCTGTGCCATAGTGGGAGAACAGGAGACTTCCAAATTTCCTTGTAGCTTTAAAAATCTGAGCCTCAGAAAGTCTTAAAAGGAGAATGTTTTCTGATGTTTGGCTCTGTTACAGTCTTTAGGCAGTTTTATGGGGTGTGAAATTTCTACTACATAGAAATTGGGATGTACATTAAAGCAAGTACCTTATCTCCCTCATTTATATTATTTTTATGACATTTGACTTTTAAACTTCTGGCCAGAAAAAGTCATTTGCCGGACAGAGAGGAACATACTTGTTATGGTGGCTTAATTAAAGCTACTGTGAAATTAGTAGGAAAATCTTTCCTGGGCCTGCTCACTCATAGAGGGTTAAAAGAAAATTAAACAGTAATCCAAGATCAAATAGAAAAATCCTGGGTTAGACTTTAGACTGAAGTCTGAACTTTGACTAATTATGAGACCACTCAATAGTTCTCAGAGAAGTTTGAATTTTCGGGTTAGGTAGACTTTTCCTGTAGTTTCATCTTAAAGTGATGCCTGTGAAACCATGTTCTTCCTCCTTTTGAAAAATCAATCCTGCCTGTACAGCTCTTGCCCTTTCCTGAGTTTGACAGTTTGTAAAAAAATTTGAAAGACCTATAAACTTATCTGTATTCTTTACAGCTGTGTTCTATGAAGTCATGATTTGTCAAATACTGGTACTTAAAAATGGTAATAATGATTATGTTACACACAGAGATGCCACTAGTGTAAACAACAACCGCCTTAAAGCCAAGAGAAGTTACCTGTACAATTATTTTTCTTTAAGAAAACTATCAGAGAACTACCAATCCCAAGACACTGCAATGAGATTTATGACTTGTTTCTAGTCATAATTTATACATATTAGCCAATCTAATTTCTATAAACTATGTCTTACATCCACAGTGCATTATTCAGAGATTTCCTGGTTAGCTATTAACCTATGGATGAACCTACCCTGCTTTTGTTCTCTAAGAGACTTTTGTATGTAGACTGCAAAGGGTCTGATCATCCAGAGACCTGCCAGAGATAGGTAGATAATCACTCCTGCATTAATTGGCATTATTTAGTCCTAACTCATTCAACTTCCTCCTCCTTAAAAATTTCCCATGAGATTCAACAAATAATGTGACTCTTACACAACACAAACAAACTTATACTAAAGGTTATCAAGTGCAAAATAAACTTTGACCAGACACAGAAGGACTTTAGAAAATTCAGTGCATCTCACAGAGAGACCTAGAATGTGCTAAAATGTATAGACAGATAAAAGATTCCTAAGCTTAATAATACCCATATGGATAAATGAGTCTCTCACATCTCTCTAAAGAAGTCTATGCCACCCAATAAACATATGAACGTGTGTACATAATACTACTACATATTTATAAGATAGCCAGTTTAAATCTCATTAGAATGTTTCTATAATACACTGAAAGGGTCATTAAATGATCTGATATTTAGCTTTCTGATACTATATTTCTGACATATAATTTTAATTCTAAAATAAGTAGAAAACCTATCAGTATAAAAATATTTAAAAATTGACGATCCAGACTCAGAGAGCACTATGTAACTGTTGCAGTATTCCTCAGCAAGTGAATGAAAGAAATCAAGAAAAAAAAAAGATGAAAGGAGCCCTGTTTTGGACACAGATGAGCCCCTGGACCACTAGGAAGAGATTCTCCACTGGGTTGGTTCTCGTTCAGGAAAGAAATGGAAGACCTTCACTTTTCCGTATCCTTCATACTATTCCCGTCTAAATGAAAACCCAATGGGAGAGAATTACCTGGCTGAGACAGGGACAGATCTATGTCCAGTGCTCTCTTGTATTTAAGTCCACTGTTGGGTTCACATACAGAGTCTTTTTCCAAAAATATTCTCACCTTTATTCTTTACTCCCATGATATTATATTTAAAGTATTTTTTCCTTAGAACAAATAAAAAATAATGTTTATATTGAATGGGACTCATCACACTGCAGTAACTGCTGGCATTGGTATTCTTTTTAAAACATCATCCTCTGGTTTACTTGATTCTTTGCTTTTTGTTTTTCTATCAGTTTTATCTGTTTTTTCTATAAGACTTACTAGATACTTCTTAGCATTAACCGTCTAATATACCTAATATTTCTATACCTTATTAAGTTCTCCCTTAGTCCTTCAATATTTATTCTTGTCTTTTTACATTGGCCTCATCATGTATATCTTAAATAAAAGCCATGGTTTCATGGCTTAAGAACAGTTTTGTTCTTAAGCACAGCTGAATAAAAAGGTCTTATCTATGACACTGAGCAATTATATTTCTTCTGCACTTCCCAAATGAAGAATGACGTGTCATCTGAAGCTCTGTTCTTGAAATGCTTACATTTTCAAGACTATTTTAGAATTCTTGTTCACAGTCAGTGAGGAATGGATGATGATTCAAAAGGATTAACCCGTCTCAGATTGATTGATAATGAGTTTGAGAATTCTGTGCATAGGTTTGTTGAAATTTCCAGGCTACCCCTTGAAAATACTTGAGGGACTCTGTAAAACATAAAAGTCAACCCCAGGCCTGAGAATACAGCTTTGTGGCACAGCGCCTGCCTGGCAAGTGCGAGGGCCTGAGTTTAATTCCTGGTACCAAAAACAAACAAATAAATAAAAGCCAATGCCATAACCAGGCACAAGGCCGAAGTAGAATCTGGACACTGGGTTTTTGAAAGTTCCCCAAGTGACACTAATGTATAGTTAGGTCAAGGGCCACAACATCAGGCAATAAATAAAAAAACTGTATGTTGCTGCTCAGGTCTGTTGCAAATCTGTCCCAAGATGTTGGGACATTTGGCTTAATACTAAAGCCAAGGCACAGGGGGAAGGAATTGTAATATTCTTGAAACCTGACATTTAAGTGCTCTTGAGAATATCTCAACCATGCTGCTAATAACCATTTTACTTCTATATAGTGCAAAAAGTCTTCATCTGTAGTTCATGGAATGCAATGTCTAAAGTGGAACCCATAGTTATCATTAATAGATATAATTGTCGTACAATGTAGTTTATGTTAATTAGTCTATGGACTCCTTTGCAAGGAGTAAATCAGAAGCCATCCATCTTTGGTAACCGGATCTCTGAGATACATTTTAATGGTCTCCCCACAGCATCAGGGCATCCATAGTGTCTCCGGTGAGGAAGTCTTGCTGTCATTAGATGTCTGGTGGCCCACCTCCTTCACTTGGTCTGCTCTCCTGCTTTTGGGCACTTCTACTTTTCTTCTGTTCCCCAGAGACTCACAGTTGAAAAAAATTCCTCTCTCCCTTCATCTTAAAGACTCATGCTTCTAGTATTTTCAAATATGAGCAGGTACTCTAATGTATCTTGGCTCATGAAAGTGTTGCATAAATGTAAAGGGTCATTATGGTGATGGCACTGACCTTCGCATTATCTGATCTATTTTTATCTTTTTCTTTCTCCACCTCTTCTCATTATTGGCAGCCTGATAATATTCTTAAGGTTTAACAATCTTTTATCCCCAAAGACATCCTCTACTATTTTTTTTAAAGAAATAGTGAATATTTGTATTTCTTAATTGACTGGTTCCCCTAAAACACACTACCTCCCCCACTTCTGTTTCTTTTCCCCAAGGCTCCTTTTCCACTGTTACTTTTTCATTTCACCTGCTTTCTTCTGGATGTGCTCTAAGAGCTGGTGGTACCTTGGAGCATGGACTTAAAAGCAAGCAATAAAGCATGCTGTCATCTTTACAACTTAGTATGAAACTCATTTTAAAAATTCAGATCCCTAGACTTTGGTAAAACAAGTTAAAATCAGAATGAAAAATATTATACTATGGAAAAACAATGACAGATTGATCAAGATGAATCAATAGCAACAGCCCAACTGTATTTGCCTCCTCATGCTTGAGTCTAGTGTGTGTTGTGTGTGTGTGTGTGTGTGTATGTGCGTAAATATATAAGCACATCTGTTGTAGCTCTGGCATTGAGACCTATTTTCTTATTGGATAAATAAAAATTGAGTTTTATATTCCAAAAGTTAATGAATAATAAAAAATGCTGAAAGAATGAGAGTATATTTTATTCAGTGGAGCTTGCTAAATCTCAAATTTAGTACAAGATAAAATATGATTTATTGGGTTCATTCATCATTTGTGATTGAGCAATACTTGAATTCATAGAGAATGATGGTATGCCAGGTGCGAAGGAATTTATGGGAGGAAAAACGCTTAGATAAATACTGTCATCAGTACTGTAAGTCCCATATGCTGAGAATAATAACTTATGATCAATCATATTCTATTGTTAATTTTCATCATAAGCAAATGTTTATCACAAAATTACTTGCCATAACATCATACGATTCCCCATTTCTAAGTACTTTGTTGTGGCTTTGTATTATCCCTTGAACAATGAGTTCCTCCAGGATGTCTGATGACTTCTGTCGCTCTCTGTTCTCTAGGGATTGCAGTTTATTGATTAATCCATTGGTCACTGAGTCTTCCAAAGAAAAAGAAAGAAGAAAAAGAAATGTAAGAGCAAAGATTTCTATAAATCACATGCTTTAAAAATAATGCTACTCACTTAAATATTAGCCTTAATCTTAGTGTTTGTTTCTGTTATAAAACTTAGTAACAAGTTCAAATTCTTACAGTTATGGAGGAAGCATATCAACACAATATGTTTTGTATTTAGCAGATCTCATATTAAGGTAACAAAATCTCCCACTTATTGCTATGTACTACTTTTTGTTGTAACAACACTTACACACTTGGGGACGATGACGTGAGTTTGCTAATTATGAAACTAACCTATGGCTAAGACTCAGGCATTCTTATGACTCCAATGAGTTGCCGTTTGGTTTCTGTGCTTTGTATACAAAGGATAAACAGCACGATGTTGCCAAGAGACATCTAGTTTTGCAAACTCTGAGTGTACAATCACACCATCTGCTAAATCTACAGAAGTAGAAGTATGCATTTTTGAAACGTCTTTGAGCTAAATCAGAATCAGAGCTAGAGTGTTTATCAGTTTACTGACATTAGAAATGAGCACTGAAACATTAATAACTTTATAAACTGTAGTCATGAGAGAACTCTTCATTACAAATCACCCAGTTATATAAGTTATCAAATAAGCAGTCACATTTATCACATTATAACATAAAGGGTGTTGGCCTTTTGGTCTGGAGAAAGCTTTGTTTCTCCTGATCAAATTGATGCAATGTGGAGTCCTTAGAAATGAGCTGTCTTCTATTTTGTCATCATCAGGAAGTTGTGATAGTCACCAAGCCCAAATGCACTTAGTGGGAGGATTCTTTTAATGAAAAAGTCTAACCTCAAAGGTAACAAAGATAACCTCCAGCTATTTGTCCTAAGAAGGTAGATAACACACTCATAGATGTGTCTCACTTCAGAATATTAATCTACCTGTTGCAAAAGTTTTCTGTAACTAAACACAGCAAATAACTCCAACAAATTTCCTGCCATCTCATATCTTTTCAGGATCTGCTCTTCTGCCCACATAAGTCTTTGAAGTAGAACTAATTCTCATTTTCAAGTGCTCTGTGCAGACTTTGGTACCAAGCAGCAAACTATATCTTCCAGGCAGGTGAACTAGAAACTTGAAACAGTGGAGAAAAATTCAACACATAGTTGGAGAAGAATCTGATTTAAGGAATTGGCATGATTTGTTAAATCATTGATGCTTTCTGGAAGGATCAAAGTACTAACTATTACTACTTATTGAGCACTTAAGGTACCTATCCTAGATCAAGAACTTTATATACTGTATCACATCTAATTCAAACGTAACTCTGTCAGAGACATTATTATCTTGATTTTATCAACACTGGTGAAGATAATTTAACTTGTTCAATGGGACTTGAAATGCAAGTGTGTTAGCTAGGACTGAGTTCAACATTCATGTTCTCATCAAACATGCCACGTTAATGGCTATAGCCCTCAGCCCAGGATCTCTCTCCTAGTCTATTCCTAAAAGAGATTTCATGTTTGACACCTGCCACTAACATCATAAAATTATTGTAACTGCTCTGATCCATTATTTCCTAAGTCCACTGAAGTATCCGGTGTGATAGTAAAAATAGCTAATCCACACGGAGATTCCTGAAATATCACAATCATTTGAGTTCATTTTCATTGGGCACTGGAGAATATAGGGGAATGTTTCAGAATAACATCTTGCTTCTATTTTATTATAAAAAGTAATACGTGATTCCCACAATACATTTAGAAAACATAGAAAAAAATAAAAAGTAATATTAAGATGTCTATATGTGCTCACTTCCCAGAGACTGTCATTATTAAATATACATTTTTATTTTAAAATTTTTAATTTAAATTTATTTCAAAATTTGGCGTTATACTATGTACATGATTTTGTTTCTTATGCTTATCTTAGCATTTTCTTATGTTACTAGAAAATTCTGTATAAATGTAAAAAGTGGAATTATACTAGAAAATATGGATGAGATTATTATAACTTTGTTATAGGGAGAATTTTTTCATTTTCTCACAATCCAAATGTGTTAAAAGGCTGATAAATTTTACTACACTAAAAATTTTAAAAAGGACTTTTATGAAGCAAAAAAAGAGTCAAAGGTACATATCCTGTACTTTCAAATGTATGTACCAAAAAGCACAATATCATATTTCATGCTATTGCCAAAAATATATGACCTGAATCAATCATAAAATTTCAGACAAACTGAAATTCAGGAACATTCTACAAAATAGATGGTCTGTACTCTTCAAGCATACCAAGGTCTTAAAAAACAATGTAAAGGTGAGGGTGGTTCAGATTAAAGGAGACTAAAGGCACATGACATGAATTAAGCATGGGATCCAGGATTAGACTCTGAATCATAAATTTCTTTATAAATGTCTTTTGTGATATAATTGACAATATTTGAATAGGGTCTACAAATGAGTTAATAGTATTATATCAGTGATAATTTTCTGTTTTCGATTCATGTACAGAGATTATGTAGAGAATATTCTTGCCTTTAAGAACTACTCATTGGTTTATTTAGAAGTAAAATCACATTAAATCAACAGCAAAAATTAATTCTCAGAAAAAATATGAAGGTTATGATCATGCAGCTGTGGTAATATGTGAACATTATAGGAATCTGGACAAAAGAATGTAAATACTGGATTGCTTTTCACACTTTTGATTTTCTTCTTGAATCTGATATTATTAAAAATAAAGTTTTTAAAAAGGAAATATAGATAGGTCTAGACTTAATGATGGTTTGAGTTAAAATATTTTGGCTTCAAAATGTGTGAAAATCATATGCATCTGGTAGAAGCTATACTTTGAGGTTAGGATTTGGGTCCTTCCCCACCCCCCAAATGGACCAGTCTTCTGTTGGGTGCTGAACAGTGGCCGTGATGACATCTCCCAGTCAGCTCCACCATCAGGAGGAAAATGACCAACACTCTACAGTGTGTTGTGTAGCTCAGCTGAAGTAGGATATTCCATAAATTGTATGTTGCCAATTCATTTTTGACTTATCATATTTTTAACTGATGCTTATCAGGATTTAACTAAATCATAAGCAAGCCAAGGACCATCTGTACTTGGGAAATGTTAGTGTTGGTTTAAAAAACAGACATGTTTTTGATTGCTTCGTCAGTAAGACTACCAACGGTTAGCATCATTTATTCACATAATGAAAACCTAAAGCTAAATTCTAATGTTTTAAACATAAGAACTTTGCCATTCAAAGTGTCTCCTGGTCCACAGAGCAGCAATAAAAGGACATCAAATATATATTCTATAGTACTTTTGGAAAAACGATATTTTGTACAGATCAATAAGAACAGGAGTTTTTACCTGAATATACTTTTTTACTTTTGCTACTAGGAGGTGGAGAATTTTCTGGAATGGTTCCAGGTAAACTCCCCATCAAGGCTTGCGGTTCCAGACACTCTGCACTGTCCACAGTGTCTTGGTGAGGTGCCCCTTGGGTCTGGGGGCTGCAGTCCTCCCTTGCAGGCTTCACCCTGACGTCATCCTGTGAAAAGGGACCAGCTTGGTGAAAATCCAGATTTCCTATGGAAATGAAAACAATGCTGTGGTCTGCTCTGCAAGCATTCAGTAACTAGTGATTGTGGGAGGCTGGAAGCCTGCAGCTTTGATGTGGTATAGCAAACTTATCTAGCAGGTGCGATAAAGTCAGTGTTCTCCCAGTGCCCAAGTGTTAGAGAAGGAGAAAAGATAGTTTGAGGGGGTAAACAGGGAAGGATTTGAAGATGCTTTGGCAGCGGAGTTGGAAATGGAGGAGGGCCATGAGCTAAGGAGTGTAAAGCACACAGCTCTTGAAGTGGGTAAAGGAAAAAAAAGGGTTCACACCTCTGAATCTCTGCACTGAATTTGATTACTTTGGATTACTGACTTCCAGAAGACAGCTGTGTTGTTTTAAGCCACTGATTTAGTGTTAATTTTTAAAAGTAGAAGTAGGAAATTAATATAATTCTACTAACTCATATGAGTCTAATAGATATCAATTAGATACAAGCTACTATCTTGAGATTTCTAGAGGATACCAAGATAAACAAACTCATAGCCATCAAATATAAAATTAAAGGTAATATCGTATAAAAAGTATTTTAAAAAATGAAATTATATTGATTTTACAGGTTAAAAATGTAATACTACTAAAAAGATATATTATGGTAGCCATTGTTGACTTCTTATTATCTTGTTTTGAAATCCTGTATCATTTTCATTGTTTTGTTTTGATTTTTTATTCTGTTCTATTTTGTTTGATTTTATTAGGATAACAACAGGCAATATGGTAGATACTGTTAATTTTCTCTTGTCTTATTTTGCAATCCTGTATTGCTTTCATTGTTTTGTTTTGATTGGCTTCATTCTGCTTTGTTTTGTTTAGCTTTATTCTCTTTAAAATAAAAAATGTAATATTGATTCATTATAAAAGTAATTAAACAATTAATATAGAAGAAAACTGTGATGTAAATAATTAATATAGAAGAAAATTGGTCAGTATAGTGGCCAGTTATTCAGTGAAATCTAAGTGTTGCCATGAAGGTGTTTTGTATATGTGAGTGATATCTAAAATCAATTGATTTTAAATGTAAGAGATTGTCCTTGATCACTTGACTGACTCTCACCCAATCAACTGAAAGACTTCAAGGGTAGACCTGAGGTCCTCCTGTAGAATAAGAAATTCTGTCTGAACTGCAGCTTCATCTTCAGCCTACTCTTTCTGACCACATGCCCAATATTATGGAGTTTGGATTTACCTAGCCAACCCCATGATTACATAAGCTATATCCTTGCAATAAATTAACCTATCATCTTTCCATCCACCCATCCATCCATCCTCATGAATCTGTTCTTTTGGTAGAATTCTAAGTGGCACACAAACATACACAATAAGAAGAAGTACCACTCCTTAGATAGAAGCACTATCAACATCTGAGTTATCGCCACCTACATGCATTTGCTCATGAAAACAACATTTAAAAATAAATTACAATTGGTCAAGAAACCTATGGAAAGATGTTCAATATCATTAGTTACTAGGTACGTAGAAATCAGAATCATATTGAGATGCTTCAGAAGCACTGAGATAACTACAATAAAAAACCAAAAACAATAACAAGTGGTGAGGATGTGGAGAAACTGGGATCCTCATGAACCATTGCTGTGGGAATACAAGATGGTGCAGTTACTTTGGAAAATAATTTTAGAGTTTCTACCAAAATTTAACCATAGTAAACATATGACTTGGAAATTCAGTCCCAGGTATATACCAAACAAGATAAAATTATATGTCAACCTCAAAACTTGAACCTAAATGTTCATAATAATTCCTAATATTCAAAAAGTCAAAACAACTGAAATATCAATTGATGAAAAAAATTAAATGTGATATAGTCATCGTTATGGTTTGTGTATAGGTGCACCCCCTAAGCCTCATGCATTCATGGAGGCAGCTGAATCTAGTGTTTGTGATTGGTTCATTGTCTAGTGCTAGGATTGGTGATTGTGAATGCTGTACCTGCCCAGGGGCAGAGCTGGCATACAATATAAGAGAAAGAAGAAGGTGTTTTTTTTTCTCCCTTTTACCCTTTCAATCTTGCCACTTGCAGCTACCATGAACAGCTGCCCCTGTGCCACACAACCTTGCCTTTGGAGCCAGCTAAGTATGGGCTGAACCCTTCAAAAAAGTGTAAGCTAAATAGACCCTCCTTTCCCTAATTTTGAGCATCAGCTATTTTGTCTCCCTAGGGAGAGAAAAGTAACCAAGACAGCCATGCAAAGGAATATCATCTGAAAATTAAAAAATAATGCTATACGTGCAACACAGAAAACTATGATAAGTGAGAGAAGCTAATTTTAAAGATCATTCATATTCACAACAGACAAATTTATAGAAGCAGGCAATAGACTTAGTGGCTGAGTGAGTCTAATGGAAGGGATGCACTGATGAAAATAAGGATTGCTTATTTCTTTTGGAGGGAACAAACATTCTAAAATTAGATTGAAGTGGAGGTTGTCAATTGTATGTTTTAAATGGGTAAATTGTATGGTATATGAATTATATTTCAATTAGCCTATTGTTAAAAGTAAAATAACTCAGATCATATATTAATTGATACTGCTTTTTGGAGCACTTTTCTCCACACTAACAGTCTATCAATCAGAAACAATTACCCGTTGCATCATATTTAGGTCTGTCTCATTCTATCTAATGGTGAAGAATAATTATTTACTCAACAATTTCACTGTAGTTCTCTTGTAACCCTATCACAATTATTTAACTCATTACTAATTTATTTTTAACTTTTCAATATTGTAAGTATGCCTGAGATAATAATATTTGTGCATATACTTCCATATGAACCTATCTACTGGTTCCATGAGAAGAATTCTTAGATGTAGGCAGCTGTGCTGGCTCAAAGGCTATGCACATTTTCTAAAATACTCTGTGAGTTCTCAGAGGGTCTTGCCTAAATACTGCACCATTTTTTAAAATTCCGCACTACATTTTTAAGGGTGTTTATTTCTTCAGACCACAGCTACATTGCTTATAAAACTAGCATGTGATATAGTAAATGACTGACATCCAAGTACTGGTCCATGCGAAACTTTTTACAGTTTCACAGCAAAAGAAGAAGAGCAAAAATATAATGAGTTTCTCTGACTTGATTCAATGTAAAGCGTTGCCATTTATTTGGAGGATAAGTATATTTTAAATATTAATCTATTCAAATCCCTCTATCATGTCCTTCTCTTCCCTGGGTTGGTCTGCCTTTCACTGCATGGGTTTCAGTTTCCCGCCTTTCATTTCATTGGTTGTTACCAATGTTTCCTCCACCTAAGACACACCCACCAGAGGAAGCTTCCTGGTATCCCCAGAAGAGATGAGAACATAAGCATCTCCCTTGTGTATTACCCTTCAGCCTCCCTCTCTCTGCCACACAGTATTGCTGTCCCAGGATCCAAATATCCCATGGGCAAGCAGAAAGGTCTTTCTAGACAAGGAGCAAGCACACAGGCAGGTGTATGGAACAGTGCTATGTACCAGGAACTTGAATGATTCCAGTGTTGGGGAAAGGAGGCTGAGGCAGAGGTGGCAGGTACTGAGGTGGGGTAAGGAAAGTTTTTGTTACAAATAAGGGAGATAGATTGTTTTAAATTTAATGGGAATTTTGTTTCTTTGATGAATCTTTACCCACAAAAGTAAAATAAAATCATCATGTATGTTGTTAAGAAAGATTACTTGTGGATTAATGCAAACAATGGGAGTAAAAAGAAGAAAATGAAGAACAGAACAGTTCGACAGAGGAGGGTTATGGACATTGCCCAGCATGAACTAGGACCCTGCTGGTGACAAGGGGAAAAAGGAGGTCCTGAGATAGTGACATGAAAGACAAAGGACCACTCAGAGATTCAATTTAAAGAAGAAAGTTCCCTTCTGTCTTTAAAATTATGACTCTAAAAATTAGACAGAGACCAAGAAGCCCTAACAATTGTACACAGTCTAAAGAACATAAACATATTTGGCTACTTTCTAGAATAATGGAGAGTCAACTTCCAAATCTGAAGTTCTTTGGAGGTCAAGCAGAAATCACAGTGGATATCGTGCAAGTCGTGCTCAGGGCCTCGTAGTTCTATTAGAGATTCCTCTATGTTCCCGGGGAGATCTACAGAGCTCCTCATTGTGTTCACATAAAATGATAGCTCCAGGGAAACCACAGTGCTTTGTGGCATAATTAGATCTATGGCTCATGATGACATGGTAAGTATGACAACGAACCAACAGCTCAACCAACCAAACAAAAATTCAATGGGGCTGAAATATGTCCGCACAAGGAGGAAGCTTGAAAGCCATGCTTTTCCCTCTTTCTTCATAAACATCACGGCCCAAGCAGTCCTTATAGAGTAAGCAAATCCAGAGAAAAAGTCTTCACATACCACACAGCTCGTATCACATACCATATATGAAGCGCACGTGTATACATATAACAAAGCAAAAAGAGTCTATCTGACGTTTTTCTTTGAAGCACTCACAATTCACATTGAAAATAATGTGCAATGCATGTTAAGCATTCTTTGCCTTAGTCTCAAACTATTAAAAGTCTGGGGTGTCAGTAAGACAAGTATTTTCACAAGTTCATTTTGTTTTGCAGATTTATCATTTTTGGAGACCAGTGCAGCAGTGAGTTCTGGATAGGGGCTCATTTTGTCACTTAACATTTCCAAGTGGAGATCCTGAAAAATGTAATTGATTTAATAACAGCAGCAGCAGCAATAACAACAAATGCTCTCACTGGAATTGAAGGCAAAATTGAGACTTTTCAGTGGATGGTTTTCCACAGACATTCCACAAGATGACAGACTGGAACGGACTTAAGCATCACACTCTTGAAGAATGACTTCATAATTACTTCAGCAGGGCCTGCTATAGGGCCACTGGAATCCAGATCTCAGCGAGGAGCTCTGCCTACTTGTGTTGAGAGACAGTCTGCTATTAGCTGACAAAACACAACGGTTTAGCATCAGGTAGCATGGACCAGCCTACAGGGCAGAAATCTAAGGCTTTTCTTTTTTGAAACACTAAGATAATCGTTCAACTATCTTATCAACATGCAACACATATTGAGAATTTTCGCTCAATTTCATAATAATTTAGACTTAGTAATAGGCATAGTTCAACGACTAGTGAGATTGCCAGTTTAATTGAATGTATGCCACTCGGATATGACCAACAGTGTTTCTGTTCCATGGATACACACATTTGCACACCAAAAAGAAATCTGTCTGCAGTATATGAGAATGGCACTGAGGAAATCGGGTGAGAGATTTTACCTTTTTCTTAAGATGAAGTTGTAGAAGTACAAGTCCATCGTGTTTCTGCATTTGCTATCAATTTTATTTTGTACTTTAGTGCTCTAAGTATAACATTTTATCAGTTTTAGACAGAATGAATCCCAAGGTAACAGTCATGCATAAAAATCATCAGCATTCCCAAAATAGATATTGCTTTTAACTATAGACAGGTGTTCCTCGCTTGTTTTTGTGTGTGTGTATGCAAACTTTTTGAGAAATTTTTGGTTGAGAGGTACTATATGTGTTCTACAGCATTTGGAAAATGTATTGGCCAAATGGCTTGGATAGTATAATTTGTTGAGGCTCCCCAGAGCTGAAACCCTCTTAAATCAAATTATTAGCAGATGCAGTTCATAAATATATTTGTCTGTACACATATAAGGAGATTTTTGTTCTTCAAAGTTAGATTTTTTTCTAGTTTACTTCTAGTAAATGAAGAAAAAATAGCAACTGTAAAAACACTCAGTGATATGATTGTTTAAAAAAGCTAAACATTAAAAAGAGATTTAGCCTTGGTACAGACAATACACAAAAATTTTCTTATCAGATTTAGTGAAAAACAGAACAATTTTTGGAGGTCATTTGAAGCTTCCCCTGTTTAAAATAGGCAAGGAAAAGTGAGTTATTTATATAAAGGAAGAGCACTTTTCCAAGCAGGAAAGTTTTCTGTGCTTTTATTAGTATACACTGTTTTATTGCAGTGTCTTCTTGCCACTTTAGACTAAGGTGAAAAGTAAGTCTGTAGACAATCCTCAAGAAGTTTAATTCAGAATATATTAAAGTTGTGCTGCTAAGAAACATAAATATTTCATTCCGGCAAACATGTTCATTGCATTTTGAGGACACTGCTGAACTCTAAATTCTATGCATTTATGAAAACAGTGGAAGCATTACTATTCTGATAGCTATAGAGTGTTTAATTAATTATAACCATATCCTTCCCAGATCAGACTTCCAAAGTCAAGTGCTTTGGGCCATGGAAAGAAAAGGTATACTCATGAGTCGACTCTGAGTCTATTTTCAGGTTATTTTAATATTGAATTTCCTCCTTATAGACTGTCATTAGTCTAGTTATGCTACTAGGAGACAAGAGCACTAAGGAATCTGGGGAGCTGGGGGTGGTGAGGGGAGGCGACCTAGTCACTCAAGAACTATACACTGCTGCCTGGTCTGCACAAGGCAATGCAGCGAGCACTAAAGACACAGACATTAAAAATAAAACAAAAAGCTGTCCTTAAGGAGGTGACAGCTCAAAAGTGGAAAGCAAATCTGGAAACAAATAAATATGATAAAAATGATTTTCAATCTGATAAGAGAAGGCATCGCATCAGCCCTGTCAGCATGGTGGCAGGGGCGGGTGGGGTCCTCAAATGGATAGAAAAGAACTTCCCTGAGACCTTTTGAAAGATGAGTAGAATTTGGCAAGTGGCCTTGGAAAAGAGGAAGAAAAAAGTCTGAAAGGAGGGAAAAGAGCAGCTGTAAAGCATGAAGGCAGAACGGGAAGGAGTCTTGGGAGGAACCAGTCAGGTCTGCAGAATACGAATGTGGGGAGAGATAAAGGGGGAGAGGTTGGCAGCAGTCAGGTCAAGAACAGCTGAGAATGGCACGCTAAGGGATGAGGACTTCACTTTATAACAAACAGTAAATAATAATCATTGCAGTAAGATAGTAAGCTCTTATTCTGTGCAGGCAGGGGTAGGAACACTATGTCGACTGAATTAATGTAATGCTCACATAACTCTATAAAATAAGTATCACCAATAAATTTATTTTACAGATAAGGAAACTGAGGCACAGAGAGGTTAAAAACATGATTCACGCCACATGATTAATAAATAACAAATCCAAAAATTAAACTTTGATTGTCATATTCTTGACTACCGGTTTTGTGTTCCCCTTATGGGTTGGCGACCTGTTTTTCAGCACAAGGCTGATACACTTCATTTTATTTTAGAGAGATCCCTCTGGAGGGCATGCAGAAGATTAGATTGGGGCTGGAAATGGAGAAAGCATCCAGGAGACCAAAGAAGGAAGTGGGAGGGTAGGGGATGCAGCTCAATGGCAAAGAGATCCCCCAGCATGTACCAGACCCTCAGTTTGATCCCCAGGACTTAAAAAAACCCTAGAAGGCTGATGATTCTTTGTCTTACCCAGAACATTCCAAAAGAAACCAAGGAATCCTCCCAGGCTTTTGGAAGGGCCTTGCTCTAGAGAGACTTAGTATATACATTGGGGGACTGGTTTTTAGCATTCTTTATACAACAAAATCATTTTCAATAATAATCATTAGGTCAAACCAATGATAAGTGGCTGGACAAGAAACACCAAAGAGTGGAAAGTTTTTTCTATTGAAGTCTTATATGGAATCATGCATAAAACAAATAAATACAGATAAGAAAAAAATTTATGTGGGAAAGAATAGCAGGGTCATACTGTTAAATGACAATCTGTTTTTGGAAAAAGGGAGAAAAATATTCTTACATATTCAAGGGAAACAATAATAGTAATAATGAAGATGACCAAGTGTTCCCAGGAAGGTCACGGACCTATGAAGGAAAAGTGCTGTAAGAAAACTCCACGAGGGACAAGGGAGGGACACCGCAATTGCTCTGGATGTCGGTACTAAGGGTGCCTTAGGTGCTCACCAGGCTAACAGAGAACAGGCCCAGGGATGGCACCCCAGGAATAGGGAGCAGACCAGGGAGGGACACAGGGGTGTGAGGAATGTGGAGGCACCAAGCACTGCAAATCATTTGGTCTGGTAGCTGAAAGAGTCCATGAGGGGCTGGAGAAAGGACAGGACCACACCGTACAGGGTTTTGCACACCACAGGGAATCTCTTGGGAAAACACGTGGCAGTATGGGATGTAGGAGTGGTGGGGCTGAGAGACGGGAAGGGTCTGAATGCAGACAGAGGCAGTTTAGGGGTGGAGAGCAGGGTGCAGGGTGAAGTGGGTGGAGGCCTCCTGCAGAGCACCGGGCACTGAGTCTAGAGGCTCACCCTTTAAGAGGCTTGGGCTTACTTCTTAAATGGACTCCAAGAGGCTGCCAGATGTGCCTCACATGTGGCAAGTGCTGTGCCTGGCATGTGGTGATGTAGTACACAGTGCCTGCTGAGACAAAGCCTCAGCCTTTAACACACTGGCTCTCAAGGGGCCCTTCTGGAAAGGTGATCCTACGCCCCAGTGCGCCAGACTTGCGCCAGGAAAGTCTGCGGAAATGTGTGAGCCATATATTCCTTCTCACATTTTTTTTTTTTTAAAGCAGTACTGAAGGTTGAACCCAGGGTCTTTGCATTAGCTACGTCCTCAGCCCTTTTTGTTTTTTATTTTGAGATAGAATCTGGCTGAGTTGCCCAGGCTAGGTTTGAACTTGCTGTCCTCCTGCCTCTGCCCCCCCCTCCCCCGCACTGGGATTAGAGGGTGCACTCGCATGTCTGCTCCCTTCCAGTAGGACTGTGAAGGTAAAGTATAGGGTCACCCTGTGTTGGGGGCACTCCGCCTAAGGAAGAGTCAGTCCTTAGTGTTCCTCGTTCTGTCTATGGGGTCTTGAAGAAAGAAAAAACGGCAAGGAATATGGGATGTATTTCTATCACAACTCAACCCCCCAGAGCCTCTCCGGAAGAACCCCATTCACGCTTTGTTTTCAGATTTACAGCAGACGCACCTTTGGGAGAGAGTGGGAGGAGTTTGCCAATGAGACTTTCTGCCTAGTTCTGCTTTCAAATAAGCAGTGCAACCTGAGACACATCTTTCACCTCTCCAGGCCTCCTCATCCTTGGAGCTAGAAGATGCAGCCAGATGGCTCCGGAGGGCTCTAAGTACCAAAGAGCCGATTTCCCAGGAGCCCAAGCTCCTGGTCTGTTCCCACGCACTCCCACCTCCCCGGGTAATCGCGGCACCTCAGGGCTATGCAGAACTCGCAACTCCTCTGGTGCTTTCTGCCTCTGCCGTGGGCGATGCGCCCTGACTTGGCAGGCTCTTTAAACACCGAGGGCTCTCAAAACTGATCTCACATCGATCGCTGTTTCTATGGAGAGTTATGCACACATACACAACTAGGCACTGGCAGAGTAAAGTTGCTCCCACTTCGCTCACCCCGTGACGCACGCACCCACGAGGCGAACTGTGCTTTGGTTGACCCTGCTCCAGCCCGCTCCAGCGGTCCCCAAGCACGGGAATGGTGAGTCTTCCCGCGCGAAAGGTTTCTATCTGTGGAATTTCACAGCTATCGTGTTTTACCTTGCATTCATCTTCCCAGCCCCTCCTGGGCGCGGGCGAGCGTCTCTGGTCCTCCGCGCCCTGCGAAGATCCGCAGCCCATGCCGCGCTGCCCTCCGCGCGCTGCGCGCCCCGCGCCACCCGCACCTCCCGCCGGCGAAGGCGCTCGGCATCTGGGCAGTTGCCTGGAGCTGTTGCCATAATAAACCTCGTCGCGCCGACCCGGGATCCGGGCGGCGGTGGGACTTCTGTAATGGAAAACTGGAGGAGGACCTGGGCGGTCCAAGTCACAGCGAGGATGCAGGTCTGTCCGGAGCGAGGGTACAGCAGGGCGCGCTGCCTGGCAGCGTTAGTTTTCAAAACACTGGCGTCCGAGCCTCCTGCGGGGACCTTGTGTTTGTTTACTGATCTCTGTAAGGCCCAGTGGGACACGCCCCCCAGCCGGTGCCTTGTCCCCGCACTCCAGCTGTTTGCAGTCGCTATGGGGACAGGGTAGACTGTGATCCCGTAGAAAGAGAACCGCTCACCGCAGACCCGGCTTGAGTGCAGATGGACAGAACAGCGCCAGAAGCCAGTGAGTGTCACAGGGGACCGCAGAAAAGATAGTCACATAAACAGAAACGCAAATGGGGGGAGAAAACCGGATTCTCGGGCCATGATCAGTTCTGCAGCTGCCAAATGGGCCACGCAAATCATTTCATGGAAGGTGCATTTTATGAGCTGCTAATGCTGTTCGGAGACAGCATTCGTATGCAGACTTCTCGCAGGGAATTAAAACGGGAGAATCCATCCAAAAAGGCAGGGTAGCAACAGTGTTCAAATGAGCAGTAAGTTTGCCTTTCTGAGTTTGTGTTCATCTTATTTTTCAGTTGTATCGGAAGTGGTAGCTGAGAGGGATTTCGGAGATCTATGCTATAATCCTTTCATTTAACAGAGTGTAAACTCAGTCTCCAACAAGCTGTCTTCCTCGAGATCAGGAGGAGCTAGTTACTGTAGAAGGTGTGAGGATAACCAGGTGGCCTCAGTTTCTCTATGTATTCAAAGAAAAAAATGGAATTTTGCACGAACTAATGGGCAGCTATGATATAAGAATCTGATTAATTGCTTTACAGCATTTTGATTTTTTTTTTTTTTTTTGGTAGCAAGGATCAAACTCACAACCTCCCGCTTGCCAAGCAGACACGTGCTGCCAAGCCAAACCTCCAGCCCCTTTATAGCATTTAAACATATTCCACTCTCTTTCTCTTACTGCTCTGGAAAGATTTTGTCCATTTTCCCTTTTTACCAAAATTGAGGAAGACGAGGTGCAGCTGGAGGCAAAGTATTATAATTATGGAACAACAAACATTAAGATTTATGAATGAAAAGTTGAAATAACGTTAAAGTGATGTTTGGGAAGTATATTACTCACGAGTGCAATAAGTCACATTAGATGTTTCAAGTGGAAACTGGAAAATTCTCAGCTGGGGAATAATCCAGTATGAAGAACAGCAATAAAATGTTCTCGGGAAAGTTTAATGGATGTGTGTAGAGCTATAAAAGTGAAATACTTCACGTCACCTTTTTCTTTTGAGGTTAACTGAACAGAAATTTGCAGAGAATAAAGAGAAATGTGTTACACAGATGTCTTTTGGAGCTTTTTAGGGCATCAACCAAAGCTTTCATCATCAGGAAAATGTTCCATTTCCAGGGCACGCGTTACTGGATCATGCATGAGAGTGGATTAAGAGGGAAATTTTGGATTCAGTTGTTAAGCATGGCCATTATGAAATTGAATTACATAAATTTATAATTAATATAATTATATGCAAGGGAGGGTAATAAGTATAACTCCATTTGAGTAGCAAATGTGTAGACCACTTGTGAATGTTGAGTCTTTACTTTGAAAGGCAGAAAGGAAAAAAAAAGGAAGGAGAAATGAGAAGAATGAATGAAGGGGAATCTGTTAGATCCTGAAATACAGAGGAAAAGAAACATTGGTCCCATTTTATCATGGAATATTTGGTTTGGGAAGATCTTTATGCAAAATATTTCAACCAAGAGCCGTGAAGCTACACCACTTTGTGTCCCTACAGTATTGGTGTGTTGGTGTATTAAGAGGGATTGATCACATGGGGTGAGGGGTTTCAAATTCCACGTGGAAGACTTTCAGATTTCAGTGCAGTCTGAGCTTTTTGAGGAAAAAAATCACACAGAGAAATCAGTTCTAATCCCATCCCAAATTAACTGAGTACTAACATTCTCCTTATGAATAGAAAGATTATATACTTTCATTCCCAAACATCCCCACTGACTGATCATTGTGGAGAAATTAACACCTTGAGTGCTCCTTGAAGGTTAGGTTAATGAGGGAAGCTAATGGCCACCTGCCATTTCTACTTCCAGTCCATTATTGGTTTAAAGCAAGGGTTTTGAAAACTGTGACCCATGGCCTCATCTGGCCCCCTGCTTGCCCGTATTCCACACATGAGCTAAAAATGGATACCATGTTTTTTAAATGTTTGATATCAGAAGAGGCACATTACTTGATGATTTGTAAAAATCCCATGAAATTCAAATTTCATTGACTGTAGATGAAGTTTTACTGGAAAGCTGGACCCTCTGACTTGTTTACATATTAACTCTGATTGTTGTTATGTTACCACTGGTAGAATTGAGTAGCTCTGACAGAGATCATATGGCCTCCAGAGCTTAACATATTTATCATGTAACCTTTCACAGAAGGCATTTGCAGATAGATGATTTTAAATAAGTGATTTTAAGAGAGTGTTAAACCACTACCCTGGACCCAAACCAGCTGAAAGAGTTTGTGCCCCTTTAGCTTCCAGAAGGGGAAAGAGACCTCCTGGGAATAGCTGCCCCAATGGTGGGATTTAACTAGCAGACCTCCCGGGCCTGTGAAACATTGTAAGTGGCTTCCTTCAGCTGCTGGAACCCACCCCTGCTTCACTGGAGCACCCTGCTCAAAGGAGGGCTGCAGACAGTGGGCCAAAGGCTCACTGTGCTGTCCCCTGTTTTGCATCAGAGAAGCTACAAGTACATGGGACAGTGTAGCTTCTGAAAAAAGAAGAAAAGAAAGCACCAGATTGTAAGAAGTGGATGATATTTCTAGTATCCTCTTAAATTCCAAGACCTAATTTTAAAGACCAGTTCTTTGTGCCTCTTTGTCAGACATTTAAACTCAATTGTGTTTTCCAGTCCCCCCTCCAATCATTCAAACCTGGTTTTCTTGAGATCTGAAGTTTGTATCTCAGCAATCCACCCCACCAAGTGTATTTAGAAAGCTCATGAATCTATGAACAGTGATGTGACAAAGAAAACTTAAGAAAAATGGTACCAGCCTTTTGTCATAAAAACATACACCCAGCAACAACACACACATAATCAAGACTTTTGCAAAGCATGTGCCAATGCTTACAATAACACCAGCAATGAATTCATGGAGTAACCCCAAAATACAAGGTGCAAGAATATTTTAGATATCCCTTTAAGGGACTTGGTATGATGGATTCTTGCAGAGAACAAGTAGAAATAAGTAAGTAAGCCCAGGAACAGGGGAGCAATTGTTCCCTGAACCTTGGCATTAGGCCGACAATCATCATGTTTGCTCACTCAACACAAGCTGGGTAAATACAGAGAGAAAACACCCATCTCGAGGGTAATCACTCAGAGATCAGCAGCTTAACAGTACATTTAGCTGTAATCTCATACAATTATAAGACTTCCATTGACATCTACTCTTAGGAATCTATTCTGAACTGTATTTAGATATTATACCGGTCTAATAGTGTGCTGAGAGCTTAATGGGGGTGTGTAGAAAGAGAACCGGTCTTGTTGAATGGCACTTGGAAAGGCGAGCTTGCTTTTTAGAAAACTGTAACAACTCCTAAGGTTACACATGGCAATTTTCACATACTGATATTCACACAATTAAAGAAAAGTAATATTTAGATGATTTTCACTGCTTCCAATGTCGCTGGGACATGGGCACAAAGCATTGATTGAGACTTCTCAAATTAGTGGTGTGATTTTTTTTTTCCTTGCTGGCCTGGAACATATTGTTTGACATTCCAGGGGAGCTTGGCTGCTGGAAGAAATGAAAAAAATGAAAAGAACAAAGTTTCTCTAAAAGACTTGGATTTTTTTTCTTCTGCTGGAATGTGCTGGAAAGAATGCTCGGCCAGCTGGCGAGGTTCTGGTCACAGGCCTGCTGTGATGGCAGCAAGGAAGTCAGAGGATCCCTGGGGGTTTGCCCCTGGCTGTCAGAGGAGGAGGCTGGGCAGGGAGAGGCTGCATCTGCTTCTCAAAGTGAAGCCTTATCACTGTGCACTGGAGTCATCTCTGCCACTATCATAAACGCAGATTCCTGGCAGAGTCAACAGATGCTCCTGGATGGGGCTGCTGAACCTATAGTTTGTGTTTCTTCATGTTGCAGTGCTGGAGGTTGAACCCAGAGACCCTGCATGCTGGGCAAGTAATCTACCTCTTAGTTACACGCCTAGACCTTTATGTTTTATTTTGGGACACAGTCTGGCTAACCTGCCCAGGCTGGCCTTGAATTCATGATCCTCTTTCCTCAGTTCCCTGATTACCTGGGCCAGGATCAGGCTGAGGCTTGTACCACTGTGCCTGGCTTTTGAACAGACTTATTATTTATTTAAATTCATGAATTTGGCTGCATCTCATTTTCACACCAACTTTTGGCCCATGGTGACTTTAGAGCCACCTTTTAGCTGTTGAGTTAGCAGGTGAAATCTTCATATGACAGCTGAGGACAGGGTGGAACAACCAGGCCAACACTAAGGGACCTACTGTGAAAAAATATCATTCATTCTTTATTTTTATTTCTTAAATTGGAGCCTGCTTGGAAAGGAAATGTGCTCATGCAAAACTCCAGCTCAGCTTTGCAAAGTCCTGAGTGGCTGCTGGCTGGCCTTTACGAGTGGTTCAGTGCCTTGAACACTTTCCGGTACTCCTACAGAATAACTGTGAATCAAGAGAAATCTGCACTATAGGCCTATGGTGATACAATCCTTTCAAGTGCCTTTAAGTCCTCCTTTCTTGGCAGAATCTCCTGGTAGAATTTCTCTTGCATACAGCAGAGGGTAACACTGGTCCCATGACAAAGCTCTTCAAATTTTCACCAAATACATTTCACTTTGCCAACAGGTGGTGTTAGTGGTGTTACACAGCCATGGTGAGCTACAGCCAGCATTGCA